CCCCCACCACTACCCCAACCCTGGGGTTTCAAACCTGCCGTCGAAGGTCCCGAGTGCCCTGGAACAATTAGTGCTAGAATTACTAGGAGCAGGTTTAAGGAGACACATGGTGGCAATTTTCTCATGAATGATGCCCTGTGGCCTTTCCTGCAAACTACACCCGGGATCATTTGCAGACATTTCCCTGAAAGCACAACTGTAGGTCCTGAGTCTGGGTGACTGCTCAGAGGGAGCATTCCAAGACGATGGTCCAATTTTGCTCATTTTTGGTAATTATGTCCAACTGGCAAGTGTCCGCCTCTTACGCCCAGCGCTGCTGAAGGCCTCTTCACTGTATGGTTCTTGTAGCTGATCACGCCCCACGCCATCCGCGTCCAGACCCCACCGAGGCACATTCCTGGAGTTGTCGAAGTCACCTTGTCCTACAAGTCCAAGCAGTTCTGTAAAGGTGCTCCGGGGCGGTTTGTCTACACCGGTGAGTCCACCGTTCCAGCTTTCCCGATCCAGGAGGGCCTCTCCATGGCCCCCGGGGGCCCTGCACAGGTTCTGCAGGGAGGATGGGCGGGTGAGCCAGGGGGTGGTGTCGTCAGGGAAGTCTCTGCATCCTTGACCAGTTGCTGTGACGCCGTGAACAGGTGCAGACCCCTGGGGCCGCAGGACCTGTCCCCTCGCCCCGTCTGTGGTCCTGCCCATGTCGCCTGTAAAGGCAGGTGGTGGGCTGTCGGTAACCACATTCCCAGCATCCAAGGGGTGGCTGCCCCATGAGGTCCCAGAGGTCAGGCCGTGTCCCCAAGGCACACCTGTGGATAACAGAAGCAGGTCTCTGCCTGGCCTGGAGCCTCACACCGCATACCACCCAGCTGCTGATGGAGGGTCTGAATTATCTGCGGGGCTGGGCACATGGACATCACCAGGAAGGGTCCCCTCTGACATCCTGGTTGTCATCCGGAAGCCATGTGCCACAGTGCTTTGCACACAGGTGGCTTGGAGGACATGATGCGTCCAAGGCTGCTGTTGAGAAAGACACAGTGAATAGGGCTCGTCCGCATTGGGGCCTCTGGTCCTGCTGCCCGCAGAGGCTGGGACGTCTGAGAGGGCCCCGTGTGCTGAACCCCTGGGGGATGAGGGCTTGTTCTCAGACAGGGCGGCCTCCACTTGCTCACCTGGTCAGGGTGGCGGGAGGCCCCTGCGGGAGCCTCGGGGTCTGGCCATGTGCCGTTACCCACGCCGGGCGCCCAGGAGGCAGGTCTGGGCCCCCCTGGGATGCGGGCCTCTCCTCAGTCCAGCGGGTGGGTGACGAGGTAGAACTGAGGTCCCTTCCACTCGGGGGTGGGTTAAGGAGTGGAGGTAACTCATCCCCCTGCCCCCTTTAGGACGCATCAGATGCGAAGTGTAAGTTCTTCCGGCCGGCCCAATGTCGCCCCAGGCCTGCGCCGGCCTCGGGTCCTGGCTGAGAGCAGGGCTGCTGTGTCCAGAGACGCCCAGACCCTCGACGGCCTGGGCTGTGGTGGCGCCCGAGTCCTCGACGGGGCGAGGCGGCCTCCAATAGGGCCCTAAGCAGCTCTGAGCAAGTCAGCAGGGCAGGGAGGGGCAATTTCCGCCCCTTCAGCCAGTGCGTGCCGCCTGGGGCCCGGGGATGAAGCGGAGCGGGCACTGATGGATGCCCACCTCCAGGGCGGGAGCTCGGGCCCCCTGGTGAGACTGGGAGATGAGGAACAGCGGCCCCCCACTGAGGCCCCCAGCAGTAATAAAGACCCGGGAAGTGGGGCAGGCAGCCGGGGCGTCCTGTGAGCCTCTTACCCGTGGCCACGGCGGGGACTCTCCTGGGTGGACGGACCGCTGAGGCTGCCAGTTGTGGGGGAGGGGGGGCAGGGTCCTCGATGGGCTGTCTCCCCGCAGCGCTCAGCCACCTCTGCATGGCCACTGCCAGCCTGTGGGCACCCTGCTGGGTTTCTGGCCATGAGCTCAGGATGTGGGCAATGTGTGCCCCGTTCCACCCCGCCTGGCATTGCCCAGGGTGGTCTGGGGATGCTTGACCCCTGAGTCCTGCCCGGGGGGCCTGGGGGACCCTTGACCCCCGCTTCCGCTGCCCCTGGGTGCGTGTGTGACCTGAGGCGTCCGGGTCCCTTGGAGGAAAAGATGTGTATTTGCTGGTGGCCTCTGAGTGGCCACGGGCCATGTGGGTGCTGGGTCGGGCCAGGCACTGGCGGGTGGGGGCATCTGCAGACAGTGGGACCGCCCAGCCCTGCCCCAGATGGACAGGGACCCTCCCCCCACGTCAGCCTGTCTGGCCTCCTGGCCGCACCCCCGTGGCTCTCCAGACGCCCAGTTCTTGACCTGTGGGCTCTGGGTGCAGAGACCCGCAGGGTGTGGTCAGGGTGCTGACTCAGAAGAGACATGATGGCAGGAAGGCCTGGTTCCTCTAAGCACTCCAGGGGCTACTGGGGACCGTGGCCCCCGCAGCAGGAGAGCCTGAGCTGGGCGTCAGGGCTGCAGGGAGGGCATGCGGGCACCGCGGCACGGGCAGTGGGTTTCCCAGGGCCAAGGCCCAGCCACTCGGGTGCCATGGGGGGTGGTGGGTGAAACTGGGGTGGCTCTCCCTAGCCAGCTGCCCCCAGCAGGGCAGAAAATCTTGCTTGGCCAGAGGCCCCCTGCCCGCAGGGGAGTGAGTGTCCCTGAGTCCATTCCAGGGACACCCATGTCCCAGTGCCCATCTTCCATTTCTGCGGCCAATGCTGTGTCCACACCACGGTGAGGGGTCTTCTCAGACCCGACGTTCGGGGTCCCAGCGGTCCAAGGCTCTGGGGTTTCCTCCACAAAGGGTTCTCCTGTGAATGGATGTTTCAGTGAAGTCTTTCAGCGAGCCAGGCCCCCTCCTGCAGGGGGCTTGTCTACGCCTCCCCCATCATTAACGGGAACATACATTTCAAACGTGTGTCAGGGCTAGGGGGCCCTGCATTCTCCGGGAGCGGAGGGAAGGTGGGGTCGTAACCTGTCTGACCTGGAAGCTTCTGTCTGATTTGTGCTGCCCTGGAGTTGACAGGGACAGAGGCGCAATCATGGGGAATTGCTCCCCTCTGCAGGCTGTGCCAGCCCTCCTGGAGGCCGGACACCCTGCGGGCAGCCCCATCCTCTGGGCGTCTGGCTCCCATCAGCTGCCTAGCCCACGGGGACGTATCACCCCTGAGCCCTCCTGGGTGAGGCCGCCAGGCCTGGGGGCGAGGAGGCCCCCCACCCCCTACCAGAGGCCAAGGTCTAAACGAGCTGTTTACAGCAGCTGAGAAACCCCAGATTCTTCTGAACCAGACCCAATGCGTCAGTCCAGAGTGGGTGTGCAGCGGGGGGCAGGCCGAGCCCACCCGGCCAGGCCCCTTCGCCGGCTGCTCTCAGCCCTGGTAAAGGCAGAATCACCTTGGGAGGCAGCAGTAGTGCAGTTGATTAGCACAGTGACTTAAAAGAACGAGTCACAGTGACATGTCCAGCTCCTGCGCACCAGTCCTTCATATTCCCAGCGCGCCTCACCCCTGTTGCAAGAAGGTCAAAAATTAGAGAGAGAGAACAATTTTCAAGCGGCTAGCACTTAGGAGCAGAATTAACAATCACTCTGTATGTAATTGCCAGTTAATAGTGAATTGCCTTCCACACTGTAAAATGCAATATAAACGGGTGGCCACCTAAAATTAAATTAATGAGATATTTGCTGCATTTAAAAGTGAACAGTGCAAATTAATAACTGAGTGCAATGCTTGTTTTAATATTTGTCTAATAGTGGATCATTTGCTCGTTTAATAATAATTAAAATAGTCCCGGAATATCCTACCTGAGAAACTCCGTGGCCAGAGAGAACAGTCTCACGTTTATAATTTCAGCCAGTAGAAAGACATCGAGTTGTTCAGAGCAATAAAAGAAATTATTTTTTAATTAGAATGTAAGCATTGCGGTGTTATTCGATTAAGACAAATTGGAATTTGTATGCTTCTAATTGAAATTATGTTCGAGGGAAAACTGCTTTTACAGACAACGTTTGCGAGCATGAAGTGCTTTCGCACAATCACCAGCGTCCCTTTTCCCAGCGTGTCTGTTTGACAGAGGGTTCCCTGTGACACGGAAGGGCGGGAGCGGGGTGGCGGCGGCCTGACCTGCGGGCGTGGCTCCACGGGGCACCGGGTGGCCGCCGCAGGCCCTTCCTGTAGCCCTCTCGCGCCCGAGTGTGTGGCTGACCACCCCCCTCCTCAGTTTAGAGATTGCTTTTGCTCAATTAAAGGAATTATCACAAATGGCCAGGCGTCAGCACGCAGCCTGCCATGGGCACAGCCAGTTCAGTTACTGAGCAGGATGGTGGCAGAGGCCGTGCCAGGGCCGGAGTGGCAGGGACCGGGCTCGGCGGCCAAGCGTGGACGAGACGGGGACAGGAAGACGGCCGCTTTCTGCACGAAGATGTGCCGTGCAGACATGAGACCGTCACTCAGCCAGTGACTGCCAGCAGTTTTCGTCCTTCCTGACATGGTGTTTGCTTCCTTCTTTTTTTAAAAAAATCATTTCTTATTGTTGTTCAGCTGCTCCGTCGTGTCTGACTCTCAGCGACCCCATGGACGGCAGCACGCCAGGCCCCCTGTCCTTGAATACCTCCCAGAGTTTGCTGAAACCCATGTCCCTAGAGTCAGTGGTGCCATCCAACCGTCTCATCCTCTGCCACCCCCTTCTCCTTTTGCCTTCGGCCTTTCCCAGCATCAGGGCCTTTCCCAGGGAGTTGGCTTAAAACTGGCGACTTGTCGGGCGGGGGCGGGGGTGGGGTAGGGGGACCGCTCTGTCTCGGGAGCTGTCTGGCAGCAGGGCTGGCTGTTGGCCCTCCCCGGGGCCGCCGCGTCCTTTGGCAGCCTTCCGCTACCTAACCTACACTTGGCCCCGCCTCTCGAAGGGCGCGGGCGTTTCCGAAGTGTTTTAAAGTTCTTGTGTGTGCGTTCAGACGTGACTCTGTCAACAGCCGATGACACGCAGCGGAGTCGATACCCTCCGGCCACCGCCGTGCCAACCCGCTGTCTCCCAGCCCGGCGCCTCTCAAACAGATTACTTGTGTCCACAGAACAGGCGATTCCTAATTGCCTCCCACCAATCATACTATTTTTACTTTGCTAAACTGTTTGCTCACGCCTTCCTTCCCCTTCAGTGTAAAGCTACCTGATTATTTTGGTGATCAGTTTTTGACCATGGAGGTAGACGTGGGGGAGGTGTTTCCATTTCGGGTTTGGGGTTCGGGGGACGCTTTCAGCCCATGTCTGTGATTCCTGGGCTACCCATCCTGTCTGTGATTCGAGGCCCAGCGGCGCTCAGCGGCTCTCCGGGCACTCCTGGCTGCAGCGGGGACCCTGTGGACCCAGGGCTGTTGCTGGTCCCCGCTCGCCAGTTGGATGGTGTCAGTGGCAACCTCTGCCACCCCGGAGGACAGACAGACTTGCTTTTAACATGAAGGCGGTC